TGTTCACTAGCAATACATTAAGATTTACATATGGGAGGTATTTAGAGAATAGATCTTTCAACTCCTTTGCCATCGTCTCAGATGCGGGGCCAAAGTAAGGAAAAGAACAATAAACACGATTCCTATCGTCACGTTCGGGAACCACCTCAGCATATTGTTTAGACAAGAACTTCTTAATTTGAGTATACACAAATTGTGAAGGAAACCCATTCAGTGAGAACATACTGCGCAAATTCAGTGTGCATACTATGAAAAGTAGAGTAAATTCGGAAACCGCGGTTTAATAATGTTTGGCTGCCCTCCCGTTTTCGTGCGGGAAAACGTTCCCGTCGTTTAATTTAACGGTAAATAACCGGCCACTGTAACGCCGTTGGGAACGTTTTTTTTACGGTCGATTTTCTAACAGTGTACGTTTACATCCACTTTGCTTTATACTAAATTGAGCCATAGATTGAACGGCTCCGTCAAAATCCTAATAGTTTTAGTTCAAAGCAATACATATATTTTGTACTGTTTCTCGGTTTTATAACTTATGCCGCAGAGAAAACATGGAGGTTATTCCCTACACAATAGCAGGACGGAGCCTGGAGCCAGTGTTGCCAGCTTTTTTCTTGGCGAGAATACCAGATTGCCTAGCTTACAATACCAGGCATATACCAAAAATTAATTTGTTCAAAAACAGACTAATACCTCTAAATTTAATGAAACTATTCGTCAGAAACGTTGATTAGAAAAATGGAAAGAAATTATTTTATGTACTGTGCATTTATCGGGCTTGACGATAATTAGACAAATTGAACACGCTATATTTTTTCCCTCTGTTTGAACATTTTGAGACTTTTCTTTTCCTGTGTTTGATTACATTGACACTTTTTCCTTTTTTTATCATAGTGTGGCTGGTACTTCTTCCCCTTCGCTCAACATGAGCAAGCCACGGAAACAGGTCATCTTCCTTTTGCTTATTTTCGTAAATGCTTGCACATTGCATTAATCTAACATTCCGGCTGTGATCACTTGTTGCAGGCGAGCAGATAGCTTTTGGTCCAAATAACGGAATCTAGTACCTTAGTTGAAATTTTATTTCGTTGCTTGTTTTCACATAGGTAACTTGTGAAAAAACTCACACCACGAATGCATTGGAGAGAGTGGAGACACGTCAATGTAGACAAGTGATGCAGTTGGCAGTCAGAGTTCTGTGAATGGATGAGGATTTTCAAGATCAGTGAAATAATGAATGGTACCCCAGAATTCAAGTGGCACTCTAGAATTACCCAGCAAATATGGTGGAGCTGGCGTCGCAGAGATCAGTTCGACAACCTCACTCGTCCTAGGCCATACCATCACTGATCACAGTGATCAGTAATCAATCAAGGGTCATCACTCTCGTGCTTATATTGCACTAAGCACTTTTGTTAAATGTTAACAATTAGATTGTGGTTATTTCAGCAAGCGGTAACCTTGCGGTTCCATAAATGGCGGGAAACCTCTAGTCACACCGCTCTGAAGGTAATTTATATAATCTACGCCTACGCTGGAGGAAGTTCAAAGTTCAGAGGTGGAATTTAATGCAGCAAGTCAGAAAATACCAGACTTAGGTAAATATACCAGATCTAAAATATTCATGCCAGATACATGAAAATACCAGATTTGTGAAATCTGGTATAGAAATATACCATCTGGCAACGGTGATTTATGTTCCGCTGTGCCTGGAGGAGTCACTAGTGAATCTTTAGTTCGTTAATGTTTCTTCCGATCTAGAAGTAGTTCGAACAACAATGCTCATGCTTAAAATTTACATGAAAACCATCAATGAAGCGAACAAAATAAAAATTTCTAGGATTTACTCATGTGCGGTGCCACTGATGTTGCACAATTTTACATTGTGGCAGTGAGACTCCGGGACTTGTTCAATTCAATCTAAATTCTCTTGTGGCCAATTTGTTCCCGCCTTCTTTAATTTCGCATCTAAGAACAAAACCGATTGGCCTGCTCGCATCCTCTTTAGTCTTCGAAAGCAGACTCTCTACGGAGCTGCGGGCAGAAGCACACTTTACGTTAGGCTACCGCTCTTCCTGCACAGGTTGCAGTGTGACGCAAACATGGCTTTGAATTAAGTTCTTAATGCTTCTCGAAGACGCCCTAGACGGGAATGGAAACTAATTGCCAAGTAATTTAACGTAGGGAGTAATCCATCTAAATCTCGTTGCATGGGTGACTACAATTCCGCTTGCACGATTCTAACCTTCACAGATGCCAATTTCACTCTTGAGGTTGGTGACATCGTTGCTGTTGAGCAAGCTTTGACCAAACCCTTTTCGTATCCTGTGGGGGTAGCAACTAATGATGAATTCAACGATATTCACGAAGTCGTGTCAGCAGAACTGCGGAAAGACAATGGCGAGACTTCGACGTCATACGACTTGATTTTGCTCGAGAAAGGCGACCCTGCCCGTAGGCAAACCTCGCTTGATGCTGAACAAGCAGCCCAGTCTACCTATACGTAGCGACCGGAACAATTCGAGCTGCTAAGCGTGCTACTGCGGCTATATAGGATTTAGCTATAAGGCGTTTTTAAAGAGAATTTTCAGGTAGCGGTTTATTATAGTTATGGTTTTAGTTCTAAATTCTTCGGAGCAGCTCGTTCTTCTTCAACTTGCTGCACATTCTAGCTTGCTACAATTTAACAGTTATCATTTAATTAATGACATGATTGCGTATCATAATGTAAAAACCTCTAGCGGTCACGAAGTCTAATTTCTGAAGGCCCAGAATATACTTCGAAACTACCTGCAGTTCGAGGTACCAGGAATAGTTGGCCACTTGTTTCCTGGATTTCGGCCCGTTCATTTTGGAGACTGAAGAATCAAACCTGTTACCCTGAATGTACACTTGCTAGCCTCGCCATCCATAAGGGTATTGAAAATTTTTGTTCTGATAAAATTAATTTTTTTTTTCTAGGTTCGTCCAATCATATCTCTGGCTCTTCAGTTGTTCCCGCGATCTTTACAGGCTAGATCACAAGCGACGTTAACGATTACAGATTTCGTAGTCGTGGCTCCATGACCCATAACGCTTACTAATAAAAGTCCGGTATACGAATATTTAAATAACTTGTTACATGTGGAGTGCGTCTCATGCGAGTTATCTCTATAAAATCGTATAGAGAATAAATAGACACTTCCTAAGGTATTCAAATCTTGAACTAAATCAGTGAGGTCTTTCGTATCCATAAAAAAACGGGTACTTCACTGGTTCCTGCTTGTGTCGCCTCATCACCTTGCTCATGTCGGAGTATTTTCCCCGATTTTTGACATCTGATTGATATACACTCCTGTGAGGCAATAAGTTGAAACATTGATTCCTTCAATGATAAAGTTTCGTAAATGATTATTCAAATGGTGGCTGGGCATCTAAGGGGCGATGGCACAAGTCAATAGACAGTGGCTCTGCCTACACGATTTATTGTCCATCCCTCCCACACATAAGTGTCGCTTGATGATCAAGTAAAACCCTTACACAGCCGCTTTGCAGCCACCTATTGCCACGGCGACGCCTAGTTAGGTTGCTGCTTCAACCCCTTACTTCGTGGGGAGACCTGAAAGAAATGCTTAGCTAGCAGGAATTTATTGTACTACCGAATATGTTGCTCAAAAATGAAGATTACACTTAACTCGTAAATATTCTTGGTCTGATTTGAGTTATGAATTTAAAATTAGTTTACCTTTGCGTTAACGGGATCGAGAATGCAGGAGAATTGCGAATTTCTGTTGCGGATTTTATACCTGCCGCGCGAAGAACAATCGTCTGCCATGCAATAATATTTCTAAGCTGAAGTGGGTTCAATTGAATACACCTTGAATTTTCCTCGTATTAAAATATCTCAATCGGCATTGGAGGTATTGTGAATACGCGCTAAAATATACCTCCCCCATCTATTTACAGGGACAGGCTCCGAACACTCCGAATTTTCAACAAATTACCTCTTTGTCACTGTAGATTTCCGAGATAAAGGTACAGTACCTTCACCGAATGCGCTTAGTGCCTCTGACTTGTCAGAGAAGCGAAAGTGGAAGATGGGTGCTGGCAGAATAGCCTGGTCTTGCTCACGGAAGCTCAAGTCTACTAGCTTTGCGGTAGTTGGCATGTCAATAAAGGCTTTACGGAGCAGAGAGTTGGTGTTCCACACCATGTCGTACAGCAAATTACTATAAGTATATTTGCTGTACACTTCATCGGTCATGTCCTCGTCAAAAAGGAGTCCGCCATTCTGCAAGTTAATTTTCAAATCAATTTATTTGTTGAATTTCTGTTAAACTGCTACACTTTCAAATGATTTAATGCAATAAGTTTTATTTGCTAAGGTTTTTATTCGTTGCAAAATTAAACTCACGTGAGGTAGTTTGCAAACATGAGCGTAAAACGCTCTGCTGAAGACTTCTCGACCATCCGTTTTGGTTATATGGTCGAGTTGCAATATGTTTTGGTGTTCACCTCTAACATACATCGTTAACGATTAGATTGAAGGGGTAGGACCTCAGGGTAGGACCGAATCTTGATCCACACAACCTCTTGATGATGGGAAAAGGTGCGATGCAAGAAGCCATATTAGACGCCATGTGTACAAAATTGTTGTGCAATTTAAAAACTTGTATATTAATACCAATGATCTTGTAAAGATTACAATTCCAAAAGCACTCCCACGCCGTGAATACAGCATACGCTTGAATGTTGTAATCGCGCCCATAGTAGGTTAGTAACTGATTACTGGCCAGTAGATTCCTAGACGCCACTCATCCCAGACCAGACCTATCGGTCTGCGCAGCACGGCCTATGGCAGCGTAGCAGTTTTGACTGGGGGGCTAGCTCGCACGTTAGGCTTGCTTTTCTCATGGCATTTCTCTCCGTGTCCTGAGCGCATAGCACACACGCAAAGCAGCGCAGCCTTCTACAACGCAGCGCTTGGCCTGGCTTGTCACTTGACTAGGCGGTTGGCTATGGCCATGGGGGAGCCGAGAAGTGGTGAGGAACGATCTGCGCACTGATGGCCTTTAGTTTAAGGTGAGAACACGGCACGGCTCCGGGAGTGCTATTGTTTCTCGTTCAGTATGGAATACTTTCCGATCTTCTGAGCACGATCCATTAAATTAAATGCTTCATTGTCTGGTCAATTCACATTTACAATTTGGAATTCTAATCTAAATTTATTCTGTAAGATTCTTAATTGATCAGAACTCTTTATGTTTTATTTCTACAGACGTGAAGTGGCGCTAAAGGTGGAGGGTGCCTGGAGCGGAGTCTGAGTCAGGGACCTTGGAACTTGCCAAAGAACTCGATCTTTAAATAAACTGGTGCACTGTTTCGACTCTTAGTTTCATCTTCCCCATAAATTTAGTGCACCATGCCATTAACGCATTTATCCCTCCTGAAGATACCAACAAATAATTCATAGATGCAGACGACAACTAAACATCAATTCTCTAATGGTTTATCAACAATAACTTTTTCTGTACTCTTTTCAAATTAATTTCGATACGTCAGCGACAATTGAAACTCTAATACATGCCGTCAAAAAATACACCATGAAATTTTTTATGTGTCACTAATATCAGTGACACAATCTGAATTTGTTGTTTTCAAAAAGATTCGTAGTAAGAGTATAGATTTCCAGAGCAATTTCTTTAAATTCTAACGACTTCCAACGAATTCCACAGTTGCCTCCCTCTTCCTTCCCCACCAACCACTCTTCTATAAGTTTCATTGTTGGGAAGGTTCCATGCTCACATTGAGGAAATGAAATCAATAACTCGTTTGTGTGTTTTTAGTGAATGGAAAACGGGCGATAGGAAGCTCGCGAAGATCTGTAAGGTGACAATGTTAATACCATTAGTCCCTGGACATTTCCTCATTGGTATCTTCTTTGTTGAAAGATAATCTCCTCCATTGCGATATGTTCATAAACATATCCTTGTTGGCCTGCGCGGCACAGTGCTGCTGTGGTTAGAGTCCAAGCTCATCTATAGATTCCAATGAGTTCGACGCGGGAACTCTTCTTCTAAGCCATCGTTGGTCACTTGCGGCGCACCACAGGAATCAGTTCTCAGCCCGATCCTCGGCTTGTTATTTACTGCCGACGTATTGCATATAATCGATTCGCATAGTTTGAATCTGCATATGTTCGCCGACGACAACCAAATTTATGGCTACGGTGCACCGGCTGACGCCGCAGCGTTGCAGGATCGAATGTCTGCCTGCATGGACGCTGTCTCAGACTGGATGCGCTCCAACCGACTCCAGCTCAATGCATCACAAACAGACTTTATTTGGTTTGCGACTGCTCGGCGCCAGCATCACTGCATCAGCTTCCGGCCAGCCCTGTTTCCGTGCAGTTGCCAGACGGGGTTTTTCCCGAACGAATTCCTTTATTTAATTGTGTGGCCGGCTATATTTTGTGATTGTGGTGCTTCCTAATAAAATGAAAAAATAGAATTTTTGCTTCGGAACCTGCAAAAATACTAGTATATATTGAATTGCAGGCCCTTTTTGGCCTTCTATGCTCGCGGACTTGGTGTTTTTTTTATGCCATCTGGCAACCCTGTTAGCGTGGGCAACGAGTTCGTTATGCCTGCGTCCGCAGTTCGCAACCTGGGCATTCTGCTGGACTCGGCACTTTCAATGAACAGTCACATTGTCAAAGTCACCACCGCTTGCCTGGACGCCCTGCGACGAATACGTATCATCAGCCGCTGTCTTTCGAGGCCGGTCCTCGAGACCCTTGTGGTGGCGCTCGTTCTAACCAGTTCTGCCAACCCTAAAGCCCCTTTCACACAGGGCAGTAGATACTGCGCGCGTCAAAAATGCCGCGGCAGTATTTACACCTCCCCCATCTATTTCACACGAGGCGCTTTTTACTGCTGGGATCTATCCTTTATCTTTCACACGAGGCGCTTTTTACTGCTGGGATCTATCAGTCTTGCAGTGCTTTATGCTTCATCAGTCCATCTCTATGTTTATGTAACAATATTTCTTTATGAAAATATATCTCTATGTGAGAATGATGTAAATACATCTCTATGGAAATACCTATATATTTTATGGAAAATATATCTTTTATTTATAAAATATATCTCTATCACTTTAAGGAAATATATATTTAACAATGTATATCTTTATGTTTATGTAACAATATTTATGTACCGATATTTATGTCACAATATCAGTCTACAATCTATCAGTCTAGCAGTGCTGTTTATTATGCACCTAAAATACGGCGCCACTGTCTGTACCACACTAGGATCTGGCGTCAAAAACCGCCCAGTGTGAAAGATTACATTGAATACCATTGCAAGCTAAACTGTCGCGACAAATCTACCGCCGCAGTTTTAGCAGGACAGACGCGGGCGTCAGGCGTCAAGTTCTACTAAAGGCAACAAGTTTATATACCAATTTGTCATTTATAGTACATTTATACTAAATCATGAATAACAATACCTCAATATAAATTAAAGACTGCCACTCAATATATTTATATATATGAAAAAATCAAAAAAAAATAAAAAAAATCGAAAAAATCATGATTTTTTTATAAAAAAATCAAGTGATTTAATCACATGATTTAATCATTTTGATTTAATCATTGCCAACCCTGTCGTAGAATAATAATAATAACTTGCGAGAAACAAATTTCTGGAAAATTCAACACGTACGTACATATATATGTTATAAAATGTAACGACAAAAAGAAAAAAAAGAAATAAGGCCCGGGGTGGCAGTAGGGTTGGCATTTACTTCCATGCTGAAGAGAAGGCCCGGGGTGGCAGCAGGGTAGGTATTTATCTCCATGCTGAAGAGAAGGCCCGGGGTGGCAGCAGGGTAGGTATTTACCTCCATATATGCTGAAGAGAAGGCCCGGGGTGGCAGCTGGACAGGTATTTACCTCCATGCTGAGGGCTGCTTTACCGTATTCAGACCCGCGTTTTCATTAGCATTTCAGCTACATTATTTGTTGGACTTCATGTTGGGCGTCCTCGCACTACCTGTTAATGTCGCACTCCGAAAATTGAACGAGTCCTACTGCCAGAATGGTATGATAAGATTTTTTGTCATAATATTTTTGTTGCTTCGCTTCAGCGTACTTCCTGTATCGTGACCGTGGCCCGTATATGCTAAATAGGGCACTAGCACTACGAAGTAGCACTATGCACTTCGAAGTGTCCTGTTGGTATGCTAAATACGTCACAGACACTAAGCACTTCGAAGTAGCTCTACAATGTTTAGTGTCGCTTAGTGTCGCACTACTGATTCGTATGCAGAAAGACTTTGAAGTGCTACTTCGCTGTTAGAGTACTTTATAGTGCGGCACTACGCTATGAGTCTATTGAAGAATGGTAGTTAAGTGCTCAAATAATTAATTATTCCCTAAGTAATTCTTATTCTTTGCAGAAGATTGATGTAAAATGTTTAATTGTGATGGTAATGGTACTAATGAAAATTATGATGGTGAGCTTAAATTCGCAATGCGTTTGCGTACCTTTCCCATCATATATTCAAAGTCCACGCTTACCAAAGACATCGAACAAAAGAGAGAAGCATGGAAAGTTCTTGCAGAAGAATTCAAAATGACTCCAGAATAAAAAAAATAAATAAATAAAATTCAAAACATGGTATCAAAAACAAGAAAAGTATTTTTTACCTCTACGCTGTTCATCTGTTTCGCCAAGGAAAATGTCAGCCATAAGAATAACATGTTGTTCAATGAAGCGGTACACTTTTTTATATTCATGGCATGCTGTTCCTGAGGTTTTTACGCGATGATGCCTTTGCTGTAAGGCGTAAGCCAAACAGATCCATAGCTGACGAAGTAAACGAGGCTAAATATACCGTAGTGTCGTCGTGAAGTGCGGTGTGTAGGACACTTCAGATTTTTGTAGTGCGCGCTATGCTTTTGGCCCTATTTAGCATACCAACCGTAGTGTTCCATGCCGCACTATGGCTTGTAGTGCGTAGTGCTACTTCAAAGTACAAGTGCCCTATTTAGCATACCAACCGTAGTGTTCCATGCCGCACTATGGCTTGTAGTGCGTAGTGCTACTTCAAAGTGCTAGTGCCCTATTTAGCATGCTAACCGTAGTGTTCCATGTCGCACTAGTACCGCACTACGGCTCGTAGTGCGTAGTGCTACTTCGTAGTGCTACTGGCTCCATTTAGCATACGGGCCCGTACTTATTGCTTTGTAATATGTCATAGACGTTCTTGAATGTTGTTATTTTGTCTGCACTAACTCTAAGCATCAGTCAACCTAGGTAGCAGATTTTTACTGATATTGTAAATCTATTTTCATAATAAGGTGTCTATTTACGTGTTTGGAGCTGTCGCGTGTATAAAATAAATATTGACGCGAAGGGTACGAGAAAGGAAAACTCCTCGTCAACTCAGAGGATTTCCCTGGAAGTTGGAATCAGAACCGACGCTCAGATTTAAACTGGATGCTGCCTGTGTAGTTGGTAGATGCTCTAGCCATTTCGCGCCCCTAACTCATTGAAATTCTGTGCCATTATACCGTAAAATCATGTAGTTATACCTAAAATTAGCGTAGTTAATGTCGAGCAGGAGTAGAAAATTGATTTTTGCGAGATTAGCTAGCCTGTGTCGTTTTGAATTAGGAAACTTGTGGGTGACTGTTACCGCCATTTGTAAACGTGAATCTAAAGCTCGTTGTGGGCCTGGCAGAATTCAAGTGTGAAAAATAGTGCCTGATTGTCCTGTTTAAATAATTGTAATTACCATTTAATTAATTTCTTATTAATTAGCTGCCAATCCGTTCTGTTCATAATACTAGCCTGACATTTTCCCTCAGTTGAGTTTGTAGCCTGCTTGATCAGGTCCTCAACTAGACATGTCACTTATGTGCCAATGAAGGAGATAATGTGTAGTAGACTATAATTCAATAAGTATTTGTTAGATAGATCCAGTCTGAATAGCTAGTACGATTGCACTAAATTCTGCTGATATTAGCATTGAGAATATTTCAGCTCACGTTTATTGTTATTGAGATTTGTCTTACACTTACATGTCTTCATGTCTAGATTTCAAGCGACGATAATTATTGAACTAATTCACTTCTGAACCAAGCTGTGGAATGCTCACTCTTAGATTCGAGTTGCAGTGAAATCTTGAAATCTTACAAATGATTCTTATTTGCTGCAGAATAGTAAACCATGTCCTTTGAACTTTTGAGAATAATAAATTTATTATCTGATTTCATTTCAATTTGGACTGTTTCTAATTAAATTCTGAACTTACAGGATTTACGGTGGTTTTATGAAATAAATGTTCACTGAAGTATCAAGTTTCCTTGGACC